AGGACAGGGCTGCTGAGCCCCGCTGTCTGCAGGTGGTGCAGCGCTGCCTGGAGCTGGGGGCAGCCTCGGCGCGCTTCGTCAGCGGCACCATGGAGGACACGGCCTTCGCCCAGCACGTGGTGAGGGAGGCCCAGGCCTCGCTGGGTACGTCTGAACCTGCTCTGCACCACGCCAGCCTCCCGGCCCCGCCGTGCCTTTCACCACACGCAAAATAAAGCGGGGAGATGGGGCGAGATGGGAAAAATTCTGCCCTAATTCTGCTCCTCTCCTGCGCTGCTGCCTCTCAAACTGAACTGCACTCTCGATTTCAGCTCTGTGGCCTCCTGGCATCCTGTTGCAGTGTCACAGGCCTGGATTTCATCAGCCCAGAGCTGGGGTCCGGCAGCCGTGGCCACTGTGGCCATGGGTCACGGCACAGAAATGCACCAGCCCCACTCCCTCTCCTCCCCGGCCCACAGACAGCTCAGGGTGATCTCCCTCGGGCCATGGCATTTGTGTTTTGGACTGAAAAATGGATCACAACAAAATATTTACTGGCAGCCACCATCCAGGCTGTATCCCTGCTCCGGAGATAACAGGCCATAGCTCTGACCCAGAAACCAGATTTCCTTGGATTGCACTTATTCTGCTCCCAGAAAATGTTGCTGTGCTGGGTGCGGCCCTCTCCCCCAGCACTGATGCCCATTTTTCTGCTTGCAGGAGGCCTTGACATGCTGATCCTTAACCACGTCGGTGCATCCTACTTTGGCTTTTTTGATGGGGACGTGGAGCACGTCCGAAAGCTCCTGGAAATCAACTTCCTCAGCTACGTGGCCATGACCACGTCAGCCCTGCCCATGCTGAAGGAGAGCGAGGGCAGCATCGTGGTGGTTTCATCCATGGCAGGTGAGTGGGCAGTGTCACCAGGCTGGTGACACGGGTCTCACTCAAAAGGCACCTGGGCTGGTTGACAGAGACACCAGGCATCCTCTGGGAGCCATAACTGCTTAGCAATAAAACCCCACCAAAACCAGCCCCAACACCCAAACCCAGATGGGGTTGGCATTGTCTTGCTGGAATTTGTTTTCTGCTCAATGCAATGGCCCCATTTTGGTTTTTGACCAGTGCTTCAGTTGAACCCCTCAGCTGCTGTGGTGGTCAGTGTCCTGGTGAGCAGCTCAGACCAGGGACAGGAGTTTCACCTTTGCTCTGTCTCTCCTCTTGGAGGATTTTTGTGGCTCCTGTGGGTTGCCCCTGCCCTGAGTAGAGATGTGAGCCACAGCTTTGGCCTTAAGAGCTGGCAGACAGCAAGAATATTTGTAAGGCTGCTGTTCAGGTGCCAGGATGACACCTCAGTGGTAAAATCCTGTCTCTGAGGAAGGGCAAAAGAGCAGCTCAGGCAGAGCAGCCTCGTGTGCTAACACAGAACTTCACCCTGTGTCCAGGTAAAGTCGGGTTCCCCTTTACCGTCCCCTACTCTGCGACTAAGTTTGCCCTGGATGGATTTTTCAGCTCCCTGAGGCAGGAGTTCGCCATTCAGAGCATCAACGTTTCCATCACGCTCTGCATCCTCGGCTTCATCGACACGGGTAAGAGCAGAGCTGTTCCAGCCCTGCTCAGGCTGAACACCCCCATCCCAGCTCTGTCCTGCCCCACCTCAGCCTTTCACCCCTGCTGCAGCCTCTGGGGGGATCCCACCTGTCTGCCCCCAAAACAAACAGCCCCCAAAGCCATTTACTGCCC